GGAGCCCCTTGGGTCCCACATGCGCATCGAGGGCTATCCAGTTGGACTTTAACATCTGGGGAGGAGAAGGGATTGTTAGATGTCAGACCTTAGCCCCATCCGGGCGTCTTCTACCCCTGGATGGTCTACACAGGTCCTTTGGCTCGTTCCCTATGGATTTTTGGCATTATCGTCAGATTCATGATTTCTTTCAGAGGTTGCTCCCCAGAGTGCGAGCCTGGAACTCCCTGACTTCCTTTGAGACTTCATGTGTAGAGTTGGGGGATTCCAGACACTTGTTATCCCTGATGTACAGAGGTTTATTGTCCACTTTTTCTCAAATGACTTCTAACTATATTCGGGAATGGGAAGCTGACTTGGGTTTTACCCTGGAGCCCCCGCAGTTGATGAAAATTATTCAGATGACTCATGCTTCATCCATTAGCTCCAATACGCAAGAGTTGTGCTATAGGTTTTTTGTTTTGTTTTTTTAATCGGTGGTATAGGACATCTTCTCGAATAGCTAGAATTTTCCCTGGTGCTAATAATAGATGTTGGCGGGGATGCCCTCAGGGAGTCACCTTTTTACATCTTTGGTGGCAATGCCCCAAGATTCAAAAGTTTTGGAGGGATATTTCCCCCTGGATGCAGAGAACGACCCTTCAGCCTATTGATTTCACCCCTTTACACTGTGTTTCATGGCACCTCTTCCTCAATCAAAATGTATAAATGTAGTGTTACCCCGCATCTTTTGAATGCTACTAAGAGCCCAATACCACGCCTATGGAAGCAGAGTAAATGCCCTACTGAGGCAGAGTGAAAGCGAGTTTGATAGGGTTTATCAGGCGGAACACTGGAACCATACTGTCAAAAACTTCCTTGAGAAATTTCATAGCATTTGGGATGGGTGGCTGTACTATTCTATGGAATTGGAGGACACAGTTACCTCTCCTTCAAATATGGGCTCTATATGATTTTTGATCCTTTCCTTGGGTCCCTTGTCTGGGCCTCCAGACCTCCCTCCCAGCTGGTCCCCTATACTTGCTCAGACCCAGAATCTCTATAGACGGCTAGCCGTGTGGTTGGTCTCTCAAGGGTTCTTCTCCCCCAAGTTGCTCCCCTCCTGTCCTGCCCTGAGCATTGAGCCCTCAATCCTGTGTTACTATTACTATTCTACTGGCCCTGTATGGCCTTTACTTTTCTTTTTTCCTTTTGCTTCTCCCTCTTATTTTTCTTTTCTCTTGTTGTTTGTTATATGTCCCGTCTTATAGCACATTAGTGCTGAGTTCCTGCAAATGCCCTTTGTGCTATATATGTTATTTATACAATCTATGTTTGAAGCTTAAAGTTTATGAGGGCATGTTTGACCTTTCGCCCTGAGATTGGCTAGCCTCGTGTGGAGACGTAGCTCCTGCATGGCAGTCAGATCTCTAGGCGATAAGTTTTGTGCTGCTTCTCACTGCCCAGATGGCAGGTGGGGGGTATGTGGCATGTTATGTTAAGTACCATGTGCTGGACTTATGCATGTACTACATTATTGTACACTGGGTCTACTGTTGGACCCTTTTCTAATACTGCTATTTGCCTTCTATGTTTCAGAACATCTTATCCTTACTGCTTCTTTACCTTCTGTTTTAAAAATCTTTAATAAAAACAGATTATACAAAAAAAAAAAAATGGCAAAAAGGTGGTCACACCAAATATAGATTTAATTTGGATTACTCATCTGTTCATTTACTCTCCATTTTGCTAATTGATAAAAAATAAACTTCTGCACAGCAATAAACACACACACACACACACACAATATAAAAAGTCTATACACCCTTTAAAATGTCAGGTTTCTGTGATGTAAAAAAATGAGACAAAGATAAGTAATTTCAGAACTTTCTCCATCTTTAATGTGCCCTATAAACTGCAAATTCAATTGAAAAACATACTGAAATCTTTTAGGCTGGTGGGACGTAAACATAAAAAACTAAAATGCGGTTGCATAAGTGTGCACACCCTCTTATAACTTGGAATGTAGCTCTGTTCAGAATTAAGCAATCACATTCAAAATCATGGTAAATAGGTGTCACCACACCTGCCATCATTTAAAGTGCCTCTGATTAACCCCAAATAAAGTTCATCTGTTCTAGTAGGTCTTGTTGGACATTTTCTTAGTCGCATCCTACAGCAAAAGACATGGTCTCAGAGAGCTACCAAAGCATCAGAGGGATCTCATTGTTAAAAGGTATCAGTCAAGGGAAGGGTACAATATAATTTCCAAGGCATTAGTTATACCATGGAACACAGTGAAGACAGTAATCATCAAGTGGAGAAAATATGGTGTAACAGTGACATTACCAAGAACTAGACATCCCTCTAAAGTTGATGAAAAGACGAGAAGAAAACTGGTCTGGGAGGCTGCCAAGAGGCCTACAGCAACACTAAAGGAGCTGCAGAAATATGTGTCAAGTACTGGCTGTGTGGTACATGTGGCAACAATTTCCCATATTCGTCATATGTCTGGGCTATGGGGGTAGAGTGGCAAGATGGGTGCCTTTTCTTACAAAGAAAAACATCCAAGCCCAGCTAAATTTTGCAAACACACATCTGAAGTCTCCCAAAAGCATGTGAGACAATGTGTTATGGTCTGATGAAACCCAGGTTGAACTTTTTGGCCATAATTCCAAAAGATGTTTGGTGCAAAAACAACACTGTACATCACCAAAAGAACACCATACCCACAGTGAAGCATGGTGGTGGCAGTCATCATGTTTTGGGGTTGTTTTTTCTTCAGCTGGAACTGGGGCCTTAGTCAAGGTAGAGGGAATTATGAACAGTTCCAAATACCAGTCAATATTGGCACAAAATCTTCAGGTTCTGCTAGAAAGCTGAACATTAAGAGGAACGTTATCTTTCAGCATGACAACAAACCAAAGCATACATCCAAATCAACAAAGGAATGGCTTCACCAGAAGAAGATTAAAGTTTTGGAATGGCCCAGCCAGAGCCCAGACCTGAATCCGATCGAAAATCTATGGGGTCATCTGAAGAGGTCTGTGCCCAAGGGTTTCCCCTCACAATCTGACTGATTTGGAGTGTTTTTGCAAGGAAGAGTGGGCAAATATTGCCAAGATGTGTCATGCTGATAGACTCATTCCCAAAAAGACTGTTTGCTGGAGTAAAATCAAAAGGTGCTTCAACAAAATATTAGTTGAAAGGTGTGCACATTTAAGCAGCAATATTATTTTAGTTTATTATTTTTACTTCCCTTTGCCTAAAAGATTTCAGTTTGTTGTTCAACTGAGTTGTACAGTTTATAGGTTAAAGGTGGAAAAAGTTATGAAATGATTTATATTTGTCTCATTTTTTTACATCACAGAAACCTGACATTTTAACAGGGGTGTGTAGACTTTTTTTATATCCACGGTATATTGATACACTGTTGTGCTCAAAAGTTTGCATACAATTAGAGAATTGGCAATTTACAGTACCATTTTTAAAGAAAACATGAGTGACCAGGCAAAAAAAAACCCCCAAAAAACTAGCAAACAAGTTAAATGCCCCCTGTTCAAACGTCTGCATCCCCTTAGTTCTTAATACTGTGTATTGCCCCCTTCAGCATCAATGGCAGCGTGCAGTCTTTTCTAATAGTTGTGTATGAGGCCCAAAATTCTTACAGGTGGTATAACGGTCAATTCAACTTGGCAAAATGCCTCCAGGTCATGCAAAGTCTTTGGTCATCTTGCATGAACCGCACATTTGAGCTCTCCCCAGAGTGGCACAATGCTATTAAGGTCAGGAGACTGTGATGGCCACTCCAGAACCCACACCTTTTTCTGCTATAACCACTGAAAGGTCAACTTGGCCTTGTGCTTAGGGTCATTGTCATGCTGGAAAGTCCAAGAGCCTCCCATGTGCAGCTTTTGTGTAGAAGAACGCAAATTGTCTGCAATTATTTTCTGATAATATGCTGCATTTATCTTGCCATCAGTTTTCACAAGACTCCCTATGCCTTTAGAGCTCCCACACCCCCAAAACATCAGTGAGCCACCACCATGCTTTACAGTGGGGATGGTATTCTTGTCGCTATAGGCCTTTTTGACCCCTCTTCAAACATGGTGCTTATGGTTATGACCATAAAGCTCTAATTTGGTCTCGTCACTCCAGATTACAGTGTACCAGAAGCTGTGACGAGTGTCAAGGTATTGTTGGTCATATTGTAACCGGGCTTTTTTGTGGAATTGGTACAGTAAAGGCTTCTTTCTAGCAAATTGGACACGCGGCTCATTTTTGCTCAAGTATCGTCATATTGTGCTCCTTGAAACAATTACACAGCATTTTTCCAGAGCAGTCTGTATTTCTCCCGAGGTTGCCTGGGGGTTTTTCTTTGTATCCCAAACTATGCTTCTGGCAGTTGTAGCTGCAATCTATCTTGATTTACCTGGTCTTGGCATCAAGAAATCCCTGAATGTTTCACTTTTTATTACCTGATTGAACAGTACTGACTGGCAAATTCAAGGCTTTGGGTATCTTTTTATATCCTTTTCCATATTTATAAAGTTCTAATACCTTTTACGCAAGTTTTTGACAGTTCTTTTCTGCTCCCCATGGCTCAGTATCTAGCCTGCTCAGTGCATCCACGTGAGAGCTACCAAACTCACTATTTATACACAGACATTAATTGCAATTTAAAAAGCCACAGGTGTGGGAAATTAACCTTTAATTGCCATTTTAAGCTGTGTGTGTCAGGGCCATTAGGGTGATTTCTTTTATTATGATGATTAAAAAAGGAGCTAAACAGGTATATGATAATAAAAGGCTTCATATGATCACTATTCTTAAATAAAAAAGACAGTTTTTGGCATAATCAGTCATATTTTCCAAATCAATGCCAAAATGTCACAATTTCTGCCAGGGTATGTAAACTTTTGAACACAACTGTATATTCTATTTACACAAAAATACACAGTATACACACAGATGAAAAGTTTGCTCTACAAGAATAGCATACAATTAGTAATGGGACTTACCTGAACTGAACGAAAATTAGTGATGAAAGGGAGCATTATATGGTATCCTGGTCCACTTGGATTACTTAATAAAGCGCCCCCTCTGACAAAAAACATGTAAAAGTACATTTATGTTATATAGAGATAACACAACCAAAACAAATCAGTGTAGTGGCAAATGTCAAAAACTAACTTCTGCCCTCTGGGAGATCAATATACATTACAGGGATTTTAACAAATTATGTGGAAGATTCCTACCTCTTTTTTCTCTGAAGCAATAGCTCTTTGAGTTATATAAATAAATCTGAATGGGAATTACTTTTTCATTATTAATCGGCTAATGCACCGGTAGTGTTCTAATGAGAAAAGTTGCAGCGTCTATACAAGTGATTAACCCTTTGGGAGTCTCTTGCCAAAAATTTAACTTTTGTTTTAGAGAATGCCTAAAGTCTGACTTGTATCTTTGTGCAGACTACTAGGAAAATTAGTAAGCCAATCACACAAACAGGAAATTACTTTTCTGGGGAAGTTCTAAACACCAACTGTGTACAGTAGACCTCCAAGTTGCCATATTGCAGCCCAGTGAATTTTATAGAACATTACAACAGTGCAGATAGAAAAGGAAAAGGGCAATTTTAATAGCATTAAGTTTCAATATGACTTGTGTAGCAATTGTAAATGCTACATTTTATTTGCTATTATTTTGTGCCACTAAAGTGGAGTTGCCCTTTATGATTATATAATATGGAATCTGTAATATCTTGTTAGAAAATTGACTATAGGACAGTAACGTTAGTTATGCTCCAACACAGAAGCAATGAGTATGGAATGCAGAAATAAACAAATACCCCCATAATACAATGGCTATAGGAAAACATTCTAGAGCAGCCTTTCTCAACCTTTTTTACCCAACAGAAATCCTTGAAAAAATTTTCAAGTCTTGGGGGAAGCCTTTCTAAAAGCAACTTCTTGGGGGTCAGAGGGAAGAATGCCCCTTACATTGATGGTCAGTGGGAAGAAAGCCCATTTAATTGGTGGTCATTTGGTGGTTAGTGGGAATATTGCCACTCTTACAGTGGTGATCAGAATGCCACCCTTACAGGTAACTAAAAACATCACTGGTGTCATGCTGCTGGCTTTGGTAAGTGGCGTTAGCCCTGGAACTATGCAGAAACCATCAAATAGGAGGTCACCTGGCCACAGCTCAATGAACCCTAGCAATCTCAGGATGAATTCTAGAATTTCAAAGAACCTTGGTTGAGACTGGCTGTCCTAGAGTATATTAGGCATTTTCTGACAAATTCCCACTGTTGGCATGGCAGTGACAGTCTATAACCTCATTATAGTACAGAGGGTTGTGCTGGGAGAAAAAAAAAAAACAAAACATACCTTTTAAAGGTTCGATCATTTTTTAATAGAACAGTTTTCTACTGTTTATGATCAACATATCTGATCTGTACAAATTAACGTTTGTAATTACCTGTAATACACAGCCAGATGACCTTCTTCTACTTTATGAATAGATGAATGTAAAATCAAGGCAATTAGGACAGTGACCACTCCAACTACCGCTCCCAGCTGTGCCATGATCATTCTGAGGAGGAAACGAGCAATATTTTGTATCAAAGTATTACAGCTTTATATTTTCTAATCAATAGTCATGATGAGCAAATAAAACATGATGAAGTTCAACCTCCAAAACCCCCATATCACACCAGAGAAAGCTGTGCAATTCCAGCAGCAGTAAAAGCTGCTTCAAAATTTGCTCAATGGGTGGCCCTGTTCTGTATGACAAAAGTTGATTGTTCAACTATTGAAGGAGCATACTGGAAATATTTTAGCCAGATAGCACCTGCATCCAATCAGATGTAGCTGCTGTTTGGGTATACTGACAGCCACCACCTGTGCTGTTTAGCAAGGATGGAGAAATTTGTCACATTTCTTTAGTTGAGCCCACAGACTAATCAAAAGAAATCTAATAGTGTATGGTCAGCTTAAGAGCACAGCTACCCCAACTAGTACTGCATAAACTATTGTCCTTTGCAGTGAACTAGTGAGAAAGCACAAGGCATGCATCTTATGAGTAACGTTAAGGCCTGTTCCAGAAAAACTGGTTAATAACTAACTTGGCAAGTATGGACGTTTATCACGGGTCTCATGTCACAGGATGATGCAACCCTAACTTCGGGAAACAAACAAGTTTTAGGGCATTACTTACTAAGGCATTTCTAGTAAGCAAGACAAACAAAAAAAACTATTTTCATTTGTAGCAAATTTGTAGTGCTGCTTAATAAATCACCTTTAAACAACACTTTTTTTTTTTTTACGCATGATAAAGAGTGAAGCATAACAGTGTATCTACTGTTACTGCTTCAAAACATATTACCATTCTGTTCAAAAGAACAGAAGTTTATAATAACAAGATTCATACAGAATAAATAACCTACACAGTAGCTTCATTACCCTAAATCATATATGTATAAAAAAAAAAAAAGACAGAAATAGAACAAATATTTAGGTTTAAAATTACTTTCATTAAAGAAGTAATAAACACAAATAAAAAAGGCATTCTCCCTGCAAGGTAAAAGCATAATGTGTTAGTATGCATTGCATACTAGCACACTATGAAAGGCTGACCTTGAAACGAAACCCTCCAGCGGCTTGCTGTCACCGCTGCAGAGGCTTCCATATTCACCTGGTCTTCCTACCAGGTTCGTGGGCACTTGAATGGCCGAGCTGCAATGATGTCACGGAGCTCCAAAGGAAGGGCACGGGTATGCCGTTCCTTCAGAGCGCATGCGCCAGCAATGTCCCCAGCTCTCCACCAAGCGAACATCCCATAAATGGTGCACGTTTAGGAGATATTCAATTAACCTTCAGGTAAGCTTTATTATACGCTTACCAGTATGTAAAAATCACAGAGGGGAGTTCAATACCACTTTGAATAAATTGTCAGTAAGGACAGTAAATAAAACAAAATGTAAAAAAGGAATTACATAATACAGTTATTGGTATTTGGCAAACATTTTGAAATATGTGAAAAATACGAAATACATACAGTATATTAAAACTTATACAGGAAATGTTTATCTTAACAAAGAATCTGTAAATAAGTCCATCTGGTCCTGAGATTTACACTGCACCACACAGTCTGGCAGGAGAGAAGACCTGATTTTCATCTGCTACAGTAAAGCAACACTTACAGACTTTGTCCCTCCCCCAGCCTATAACGGCAAGGAAAGCATATCAGCAAACTGATGATCGTGTCACTTTGCTTTCTCATTTTTTGCAGCAGAACTGATTGGTTCTCTTTGCAGCTTCTCCCTCTCCAAGTTTGAGCTCTGCTATATAAGAATTGCAAGAGATCAGAGTATATGATCAAAATGCAAAATCATGATTGATCTGGAAATTTGTAAGCATAGTCTGTGAGGAATCCTACAAAACATATTCACTATGCCCTGTAACTATGCAATGTCACAAAATCACAGAGCCTAATGTCTGCACTACAGAGATGGCAAAAAAAGCAGAAGGAGGCGGAGCCAGAACAGGAATCACTTCTTGCAGGCAGCAAGGTACCATGGAATATGTAGTCTAAAACTTGAAGGTAAACAGCAGAGAAGAAACTGGAAAATCAGTCAGGAAAACCTGGGAGATGTTGAAAGGGATCACAGCAGACAGGCAAAACTCACAAAATTAAATATTTTCATTACCAATTGTTTGCATTGCTATTGCAATGCTGATGTTATAAAATGAAAGTGTATGCTGTGCCCATAGAACACTATTAAAAGGTCAAATTCTGGTAACTTATGCTGCTTGTTTTTAAAAAGATACATTAAAATGATGTATTAAAACTGAACTCCAGGAATTTTCAAAATTTCTCTTACAGTGGGGCTTCCTCTGCACTGCAAGGGTTAAATGCTTGTTTCTACTTTGGGTACCATTAAAAAGCAGTTTTACCAAACATATCCTTCGCTTCTCTGGCAGCTAGCGCTCTCTGCCTGCCTGTGCTCTGAGATATGGGTGGGACTGCAGCATTGATCCAATGCTGCAACTGTCCTCTTCTGCTCTTCTACACCGAGGACTGATAGAAAAAAAAAAAAAAAACACTGATCGCTCAGTTCTCGCCAGTTACTGTTCTGTGCTCTGCCACTCCAGTGATCACTGAGGCGCCAGGCCATGCAAGGGGTGGGAGCGGCTGACTCAGGCTTTACTGTCGGGATGCCTGCAGAGCCTGGATCAGTTCTGTGATGTCAGCCAAAAGCAGGTTTTAGCCCACTTATGGCTGAATCTGGGTCATAGGAGAGCATAACTAAGTGCACTACTGTTAACCACAGAAGTATGGCCAAAAGAGCTTTGACCACACTTCTCCTTTAATTTGTGTGTTTTATACCTGCCTGGAATTCAGCTTTAGACCCAGTTCACACATATGAGAATTGGATGCATTTTGAACCACATCCAATTCACATGACATGTGAACCAAAAGCCTTTTCTATGAAGCCAGACGACATGTGCGGGCCGGTCACAGTGCGATTTGTAAAAGAACCCTGTGCCATTTTCAGTCCGATGCAGGTGCGACTTCCAATAACATGCACTTTAACAATTTGCACTGGATTCATGCCTGAGCCACTGAACAAAATCACACTGGTGTCTTGAAGGAAAAAAAAAAAAAAAAAAAAAAAAAAAATCACACTACAAACCGGACCTGCACACATGTAACTCAGGCTGATATACCATTTCAAAAACTGAAAGCATTTTATTTACATTTCTTTTGTTTTCACTGCCAGATAGTAATAAAACATTTCTATGCCTACAGGTAAAAGCTGTCTCTAGCTAGTGTGACATGAGCCTTATCCATTACCTTCCTATATTTCTGGCAGACTCAAGTGATAATATCTACACAGTCAGAGCTCTGGACTCGTTTCCACTTGCTTTCGTTTCTGAGAGTCTCATTCCTTCTCCTCAATAAGGAATGTTTCCCTTCTGATGCTGCATTTGCCATTAACCTCCCTAGCGGTCTGATTATGTCCATATTTCTGTGCTCAAAGCGGTACATTTTTTTGCATGGAAATATGTATTTTTTTTTTTATTGTAGGTCTGTAATTTTTAGGAATAACTCACTGAAATCTGTCCGAACAAGAGTCTAGTAAACATCCCGGGTATGTTAAAATTTGAAACACGAAATAATAAATTATTTAATAAATCATAAAAAAAAAAATAAAAAATTTAATTCAATAATATAATCAAACCAAAAACACTGAAATTTTAAATATAGTGCCAAGTTCGCACATCACTGAGCAAAGTCACAAAATCATTTTCAGTGTCTGATGACGAATTTCCCCACAAATCATTATCACTCAATTCTGCAAGTAGTTCTAATTTACTATTGCTGTTCTCTAGCTGGTCTAAAACCGCTTTTGACTTAAAGGGATGCTTTTTGGACGCCATGGACATTTCTCAGTTTCCAGGCAGAAAGAAAAAAATGCAGGCAGGGCACAGGACAAAGCACTAGGGACAAAATGAATGTGAAATGGTTTGATACAGTAATGTTATACTATGTGATTTTAGTGAATTTAGTGAATGTCACTTTTTGTCATTTTCAAATTTCCCGCCGCTTGCAGGGGACGGAACCCAGATGACAGATGCAGGCATCCGCCGGAGGACATTGCCGGGTACACTGCAGGAGGGACATCGTGGGAGCGCAGGACAAGGTAAGTGAAGAACAGATCCCGGAGCAGCGCCGCATGGTAAGCCAGAGTGGAGCTCGGTGTTACCATTTTTGTGGTATTAAAACTTTACCCCGAGCTACACTCGGGAATACGCCAGGGAGGTTAAATAAAAATATTACTATCAACTGGAGAGAGCAAGGCCCATTATAACAGCTATGGCAAGTATGCAGATGTGCAAAGTTCATGCAAACATATACCCTAACCTGAAGTTCCTAAGATACACAAGAAAACGTATGCAATTTAAATCTCAGGCTCTACTGAAAATTCTTCATTCGGACAGAGGCTTTTAAGACACTGAACACAGTTGGCAAGTCTAACACAGTTCTAAAGAAGTTCGATTGGCTGTCTATGTCTGCACGAGATGCACAGTTGTTATGTACTTCCTAGTACAGGCAGTCTTATTCATGCCTATTGGGTTGCAGCAGCTGCACGGACACCGTCGCTGGTTCTAATCTGACATCTGTGCGAGTGCGTGTCCCCAAACACACACAGTCCGTGTTCGGGGCCATGCACATGCACAGCTGTCAAAGCGGGACCAATGGCTGTGTCAGTGCTACCGTGGCGTCCCAAGATAAAAAGAGAAAAAAAAAAAGACCATCAACCTTAGCATGTATATGTCTATGTTTCACATGTCCAGAAATGTAATATCTCTGATCCAAAAATATAAAATGTAGTCATGTCCATTTTCCATCAGACTTCACCAGCAAAATGGATTGGTTTTAATAACTGCTAGCTTTCAGTCTTTCACCCTTTCACCAAGCCATGGAGCTATATAAAGGAACTGTGCAACATGATGAGTTTTTCAGCTGTGCTACAGACAGCTGTATGAGGAAGCCCAGCCTCTTCCATGCAAAGTTTATGCCTAAG